ATTCCCAACTCATCTACAACTTCAATTTATCAAATTCAGCCCCCCGCCGTGCGTGGTTGCCACGTACGGCCTCGTGAGAATTTTTGGCGGGAAAATGAATAACTCCAGAACCAGGGGAGCTGGGAGGCTGAAACTTTCAGGAGATGTTCTCAACTTATTTACAACTTGAATTTATCAAATTCAGCCCCCCGTTATGCGTGGTGGCTACGCACGGCTCCGTGAAATTTTTTGGCTGCAATTTGGGTAACTCGGAAACTGAAAGCTGGGAACCTGGGATTTCAAGGGAATGTCCCCTGTCCAACTATAGCGTGGATAATTAAGCTCCCGAAATTCGAGGACCAGTATGTACAAGAGGTTTTTAGCTAGCGGAATTTCGAGTAATCTTATTACAGCACGAACCACTGCAAAAACACATAATCGCACGGGGCCCCCCAGTGCGCGTCGCCAATGATTCTTGCTTTCACAGTGAATAGACCCCGCTTTTGTCCACCAAGGTCTCCGATCCATGTGTTTAAAGAAGTGGACGGGGTTCTTCTGCTTAACATGAGGATATTCGCAGTACTGTCGAAATTACGCTAGTCGGAAGGATTTTCAGTAGGCAATTAATAAAATTCGGCTCGGCTCGGCCGGCGTTATACACGATCTGCGAATGGTTTTTTCAGGTGTCCTTACGCCGCTCCAGCACAGGACGCCGCAGATGGTGTAGTAGCGGGAAGGGGTATTGTGTACGTATCCCGGACGCAGGGGTTGGAGGTAGGGGAGAGGGCTGGCGGGGTGGGTTGAGTGTTTATATGGCGTACGTACGTAAAGGAGAGGAGGGATGGAGCAATGAGCGGAAAGGAGAAGGAGCCGTGCTGCTGGTTTTTGCCGTGGATACGCGGACCGCGGAAAGGGCTCGGGAGGCGGGTGCACTACAGAGGGCACAGGAAGCGGGGAAAGGAGAGCTGGCAAAGCACGAGCACTTTTTTTGGGTGTGGGAGTCGAGACACGGGGAGGGAGTCGCGGTGGGTGTGAGGGGGTGATGCATATGGGTTTCGCGAACCGCGCGGGAATTCGAGGCAAGGGGAGGGGATTGGGCAGGTAGATTGAGTGGAAATGTGGCGAAGATTCTTTGGCACTTGCCTCGGCCATGTAAAGAAGAGGGAAAGGGGTAATGGGTGAAAAGGAGGGAAGCAAGAAAAAAGTAGAAGCAAGGAAGAAAGTAAAAGCAAGAAAAGCAAACGAGAAACCTCGTCAGTAGGGGACTTCCTTATTTATAAAGCTGATGCTTAGGTAACGCCAAAGTCGAATAAGGTGAAGTTGCGAAGGTAAACCTGAGACCTTTCAGCTATACCTAAGCATTGGTTTCATAAGTACGGAAGCCCGCCGCTGGAGACAAGTTTTCAGCAAACGAAAAACCAATCATCAGCAAGGAACTCCCCCATTATGAAGCTGAAAGCAAATAAGGTAAACTGCATAGGTAAAGCTGAGAACTATCAGCTTTACCTAATCATCAGTTTCATAAACAGCTTCATAAATAAGCTTGTTCCCCTACTCTCCTGCTTGCGGAGCGGCAATGTTAACATCCATCACTCAACACCTCTACCACCACTAATCGTTCTGCACTCCTTACTACCCCCCTTTTCCGTCTCCTCTATCTTTCCCTAACTCGTGCCCCCAAGCAGCATCTGGGTACTCACCCATTACCATCCCAGCAACCACGTCAACCTCAACCCCGTCCTCCCCCCTCCCCCCAACCATGAGTCTCAAATGCGGTGCATTGAGTAGCGCTACCCAGCGCCCCTGGCGAAATGCCAGTTGGGATCGGCGAGCCTCGACGCGAAATAGCGTTAGCAGGGATGCTGAAGTACCGGCCGAATCGATTTTTAACAAGTACCTTTTCAGTCCCAGCTCGAATGGGAGGCAGAGCTCAATCCTTGAACAGATTGGGCTGTTGGTTTGTACATCAGTACTTACAAGAACAGGTGTGTCAACACGAATTAAACTGTGGGAATCTCAAGTATGGAGCCTACCTGGTTTCGAAGCCACCAAGCGAGAACGAGCTTACAAATTAAAATTTGGCCGAGCTTCTTGCTGATTTATGTTTCTTTGATCTGCATTGCCCGAATTTCGAGCATTTAGTGCACTCAGTTCTGGAACTACAACAGCAGCTGGACCTGAACTATGGCAGGAAGGAAGAGGAGGTAGAATTTAAACTCTCTTTTGCAATATCGCACTGAAATAAAAATAATGATCTCGAATTTTTCTGCTTCTCAATTTCCATAAAGTCACTTCGTTAGAGTGGCAGACGTATGCGCGCTTTCTAGTGATGTTTCTCTGAAATTACTGCACATGCAACTTTTATGAGGGCCTTCTCTGAAATCCGCGATGGAGAGGGCGAGTGATAACCAGAGAAATGTGGCAAACAACCGGAATAGTTGCGGACAATGCGCATGGCATATAATGACATTTTTCGAAACATCATTTTAGCTGGAGCCATTCTCCTCCAATATTTATCGGCCCAGGCAACATATTCAAATTGGTGATTTTTATGCGTTGTGTAACAGCAGTACAATATTGTCATCGGATTGTGTGTGTGTGTGTTTGCGTGTGTGTGTGTGCGTGTGTGTGCGTGTGTGTGTGCGTGTGTGTGTGTCTGTCCCACACTTCCCACACTTTCAACTCGAAGACCACAAAAGCTAGGCGACTGAAATTTAGCACAGTTTTCCACGCTGACGTGCGACGCGGCAGCTTTAAATTCAGCCTTTCCGTACCCGCAGGTAACACGTATGGCCCCGTAAAAGTTTTGGCGGATAAAATCAGTATCTCGGGAACCATGGAAGTTAGGAAGCTGAAATTTTTGGGTATGTCCCCTGACAACGTGAGACTCAGAAAACTCAAATTCAACCTTCCTGTACCCGCGGGTAACATATATGGCCTGGTGAAACTTTTGGTGGGTAAACTATTATCTAGGGAGCCGTGAAATCTAGGAAGCTGAGATTTTAGAGCAATGACCCCTGCCCTCGCAAATTCAGTGTTCCCACGCTCTTGGGTATCACCCATCTCCCCTTGAAACTTCTGGCGAGTAAATTATTATCTCGGGAAACACGGAAGCTAGGAAGCTGGGATTTTATGGATATGTCTACTGCCCACGTGCGATCCAGAAGATTTAAATTCAGCCTTTCCGCACTCGCGAGTAACACGTGCGGCCTTGTGAAAGTTTTATTGGTGAAATCATTATCTCAGGAACCGCGAAGGTTAGGGAGCTGAAATTTTATGAGTATGGCCCTTGACCACCTGCAACCCAGAAAATTTAAATTCAGTTTTCCCGTGCATTTGAGTATTGCGTGCGGCCCCGTGAAAATTTTGGCGGAAAATTATCTCGGAAACCATGAAAGTTAGGAGGCTGAAATTTCAGAGCGATATTTTCTAGCGCTGCAGGTATTTCACAAACTCAAATTTAACTCCTAAGTATGCAGAAATCTTGCGTAAGACCACGTGAGAATCTTGATGCGAAAGTCACTGACTCGGAAGCTGGAAAGCTAGGAAGTTGAAATTTGGAAGGATATTCCTCATCCATGTTTTCAAATTCAGCTTTCTTGTACCAGCACGTGAAATTTTCAGTGAAAAATTCCTCATCTTAGGAGCCAGACAACATATTTACTATTTCAAACAAAAAAGTCAAATCAGTTTAAGATTTCTACAGTCCAGTGCTGCTAGGGCGGAGCTGCAACGCCTTGAAAGGTGCTGGAAACCGACAATTTCACTTTCGGTTACTGGTTCTCCAGCTTTCCTCTTCAGCAAAATTTCGTATGAATTAAAACGACGGAGCAAAAATTGACCAAATAAATAGCAACATGCACCAGACTAGCTGGTACGATCATGCGTTTTTTGCAATTCACCTCATCGAACGATTGCCTATTAATGATTTTCACTGCTTTGTACTTTTTTCTGTGCAAAAATAGATCAGACATTGAAAAACAGTTAAAAATTTCACGCACCAGCACATGAAAGCTGAATTCGAAACATTGGAGGATGAATGTCTTTATCCCGAGTTAATAGTTTACCCACCAAAACTTTCACGAGGCCGTAGGTGATATTCAAGAGCGCGGGAACGCTGAATTTGAATAGGCAAGTTTGAGCGTGGGCAGGGGGTCGTTATCCCTAAACCCCGTGGTTCCCGAGGTAATAATTTACCCGTGAAAACTTTCACTAGCCCGTAGGTGGCACCCGAGAGCGCGGGAACGCTGAATTTGAAAGAGCGAGGTTGAGCGTGGGCAGTGTTGGTCATTACCCCAAAATTTCAGCTTCCTGGACTCCGTGGTTGCCGAGATATTAATTTACCCGTAGAAAATTTCACAGGGCCGTACGTGTTACCCGCGGGCACGGGAAGGCTGAATTTAAATTTGCGGGGTCATACTTGGGTGGGGAACGTTCCCCCATATTTTCAGCTTCCTAGCTTTTGTAGTTCCGGAGTTGAAAGTTGCGAACAAGTTACTGAGGACACACACACACCAACACACACAGACAACTCCGTGCCATATGCGTTTTGTGCTGCTGTTACACGGCACAAAACGCATAATAAAAATGGCAGTAATTGCATCAAAACATACACAAGAAAATAGATATAAAGAAGAGCAACTTACAAATCTTCCAATGCTTACAACGAACCGATTTCCGTCTGGTGAATTGCTAACAACCATGTAGAGGAATGGTGTATTGAAATTGATTTCCGCATCCATGTCTGAATTATGTCTGAATTATAACTTCAGTGAGTCTCCAAAAAATTTACTTGTTCTCACAAAATAGCTTTTTCGATTTTCCATCATGCTACTGAAACTAATATGATTTTCTGCACTACGATTCAAGTACTCAACTGTTACTGAAAATTTGCATTCAAACATTTAGTTCAGTTACGCTGTTGCTGCATAGGCGTGTCACTCTCCCAGAAATCGCTAAAAGACTATTTTTTGCAGTGAATTGCTCTCCTTTATTGTGCAACAATAATCTCTTAGCAAACAGGGTTATTTTCCTGAGTGAACTTCAGCGCACTAGATTTGGACAGCTTGTGACGAAAATAGAAAACAAGACTCCAAGTCGAGAAGCGCATTTTCCACAGGTGTAATAGCATCTTTTTAGCACAGACCTTTTGCAGTAATGTTTTGATCTGGAACAAAATAGGGACTAATTTTCGGCGCTTCAGACGGTTCGATCACAATTGTGTGTTCTTTATGTTCGAACGATATTTCGCCACTGGGTATTAGCGTGGGCGCTACTGGTGTATCTAAAAGCTCCACAGTGTGTCTATTGTTGCTAAGTTTGCTAAACATTGAGTATTCACAAATTAAAATGGGAGGTTTATTAATGTTGACATTATTTTTCAATAATTAAATTTTAATAAGGTACACTGCTAGCGGTCGCAGGAAACTGGCCCAGAATGATTATGAATCTTAAACCCAGGCTAGAAAGCACCAGGCTTGTCCGTGCGATTATACGTTTTGCACTAAACTCGCAGGTCGCTAATAGCAGGAATGATCCTGCGGTGTAGCCTAATACTGGGGCTCATATTGGCCGTGCTTTAATCCATTTCGGCATGTAGGAGGAGCGTCATCAGTTAGGATGACAGTGGTGCATTGTAGAGCGGCGTGGACATCCAGGTACATGATTACCAGTTTTTATGCGTTTTTTGCAGCAATGCAATGCGAAAAACGCATATTGACG